TCTTCTCTCTCCCTCCCTCTTTCTCTCTCTCTCTCCCACACACATGCGCGCACACACACACATGCCAATAAGTAAAATACAAGATAGAATGTGATACATGTTCCAAAAGAGATAAACAGAGATAAATAGGAAGTACCACTTTTAAGCCCCAGGGCCTTGAAAGACATACAGGCTTTTGACAGGTAGTGATGTAAGAAAGGGCCTCACTGGTGAAGAGAATAGTGTTTTTAATACCATACAATTAGCCTCAGTCATAATGTAGTCATAACTTATGCTCATTTAGATGGAATTGACCTAACATTTCTCTTGTATGTTCTAAAACCTGTTTCTCCAGATATTTGGGGCATCATTGAATGACTGTGCCTCCTGAACTTTGTTTTTACTCAAAGCATAGGCATTGTGGTATTATGATGATGTTTGAAGTTTAGAATGGTACCATCATTTTGAATCTTCTTAATGATTGTTCTGGTATTCTCTGTCATCATTTTCCCTTTCTCTTGATTCTTATTTCCTCTTCACTGAATTTTTTTCATTCTACTTATAAATGTATTCAGATCTCCCTCCTCTACTGCATTACAGTGGAAAAATAATTATTTCTCAGTCCTAGTATATCTGTCAGGCTGTCATCCTGGTTTTCTTTAATGGCGGTAGCATTCACTCACTGCTTCTCTGTCTTACCATCAACAGTTATTTAGCATCTTGCAGTCTGAATTTTGCCTTCACTCTTCTAAAACTGTTTTATAAAGGGTCAACAACCATCTTTTAGTCAATAAATCTAATATTTTTTTGTTTTGTTTTGTTTTGAGTTAGACTGTCTTTGGCCTGTCCACAGGCATTGATATACATATCTTTCTTCCAGATGGCCTCCCCTTCCTAGGCTTCTGAGGCTCTTTCTTCTTCCTCTTCTCCTAAATCTGTCTTCCTGACTCCTCATCCTCCCTGTGAAGGTACTGTTTGCCAAAGATTTGCCCTTAGCCTACTTCTTTCCTTAGTAATCTCACCCCAGCCCTTCCTTTCAGATATAAACCTCATCTGTTTCTCCAGCTCTGCTACTCTTCCGTTCTTCCATTGCTTGTTAAACACGCCTCATTATCACTACAAGTTTGATAGGTTTAAAATGTCTCCACTCTTGATCAAACCTGAATTTCTTCCAGTGGCTTTGTTGGTAGCACCGTTAACTTTCCAATCATCCACACTTAAAACCTTGACATTTTATCTAATTTTCTTCCCTTTTGTTTCCCATATCTAAATAGTTGTTATGTCTACTAGTTTTAACCCCAGTAATATCACTCACCTCTTTCTTCTTCATTCCTGCTGTCACTTTCCAAATTCAGGCCCTCATATCAGCCAGTCTTTTGCAGTGACTCCCTAAGGTAGATTTGTAGAAAGAGCATAGGCTTTGTAGTCTTGTAGACCCAAGTGCTAATTGTGAAGATGACACTTACTAGCTGTCTGATTTATAGCAGATTATTTAACATCTCCACTGACAGATGAAAAAATTCAGACACCGAGAAGTTAGTCATTCCTGCCTTATGAAGTACTGCATTTTGAAGGATAAGTGGGACAAAGTGTACCTACCAAGAAAGCACTGAGAAAATATTTTTTGTCTTCCTGCTTTTAATCTCCTTACAGCCCATTGATAGATTAATATTCTTTAAGCATAGCGTTAATTATATTGGTGTCTTGCTCTTCCGTGTTTCCCCATTGTCTAACTTGTTCATAATTTTTAGTCTAGTATTTCCAGCTGTCTATGAATTAGCTTCAACCCCCCTTTCTGACCTTATTTCTTCCTACTCTTCATAAACATCCTTTTAAGCCAAACAAAACCAGTAACAATGCCCAGTGACAAAGTGGTTAAGAACATGTATTCTAGTGTCAGGCTACCTGGGTTTAAATCCCAGTTCATTTACTTAACTTTGGGCAAATTACCTAATCTCCCTAAACCTTCATTTCATCTGAAAAAATAAGGATAATTATAGTGCCTACTGCAGTGGGTTCTTGGAGGGGTGACATGAGATCATGTATATAAGCACTTGTGCCCAGTACGTTGAGAACAGCCACTATTAGTAAGATTAGCAGAGGTAGTAGTAGTAGTTGTTGTTGTTGTTGTTCATGCTCTTATTATTTGCATCTCATTTCCACCTCCATGCTCACATTCTTTTCTCTGTGGAAATGCAGTTTTTCCCATTTGTGCCTGTCTAAATTTTAACCATCTTTAAAGATCTTCCCTGGTTTTCTTACCACTCCTGTATCACCACCTTCCCCCTAGTTATATTCCTTTTCAGCATTTTTTTTCTTTTATCTTTTTTTTTTTTTTTTTAAGATTTTATTTATTTATTTGACAGTACAAGCAGGGGGACGGCGGGGCGGGGGGAAGCAGACTCCCTGCTGAGCAGGGAGCCGATGCAGGGCTTGATCCCAGGATGCGGGGCTTGATCCCAAGACCCTGGGATCATGACCTGAGCCGGAGACAGATGATTAACCATCTGAGCCACCCAGGCGCCCCTCCTCTTCAGAATTTCTTAACTCTTTTAGTTTAGAGTGCTTATTACTTTCACAGGCTTATCTGTTTTTTTCCCTTCAAAAGACTGAAGTATCTTGAGGGCAGATTGTGCAGTGTAAATCGTTTATTGTATTTTCTAAAGCACAACGTCTTACACAGAATCATGCTAAAAGGTATTTGCTGAGTAAATATATTCCCTATAAGCAATAGCCTTTGGTTCCAAGAGATTTACTTCTTTAGGAACTTTTCTAAACTGCATTAATTATTGGCTCATACAAAATTTAATTTTGGCATGAAAATGCCATTATTGGGCTCAAGGAGACTAATTAAAGAAAAGGCATTGTAGCAAAAGACAGTAATAGCAAAAACAAAACAAAAACTGACCAGGTAACACTATTTTGGATTCAGTAACTTTTTTTTTCTACATTGCCTCGCATTTGTTACTATTCCAAATTTACTCTGTACCTAATAGTACCTATCATGGTGCCAAATTGAAGTGTGAAGTAAGCATTTGTGGATAACAATGAATCTAAAATTTGTTTCACTGAAAAAGAAAGTAGCAGATATCACATAATACATTAAAATGTGATTAAGTATCTTGTTCAGTTGTTAACATGAGAGGTTGTCCTTAGGGAGTGTCACCCTCATGTTATATGCAGATGGAGTTTTCTCTTGGTAACCACTCCCACCGGTCCTAAGGAAGGAGATAGGGTGGGAGTGGGTGAATCTCCACTTGAAAATTTCTTTCCCACAGTGATTTGGCACAGCTCCAGCCTGTCCCTTCAGCATAATACATGCCTTGTCTTTGTTAAAAGAGGCTTGTCATTTGCGTTCATGCTTTTAAAAATATTTCTGGTCATTTTGAAATAATTTTAATAATAAATGGTATGTTATAATTATAAGGAGAGTGCTCTAAGGCCAAGAGATAAATATTAGAAACGTTCATTTATATACTCAATTATTTATTTCTTAAATAGACATTGATCAACACCTTAAAATGGTAATATTTTCCCATTCAAGAATGGCCATACTTGACCATAAACAGCTAAGATTTTTTAGTTATAATACAGAATATTATTTGGGTTTTTTGTTAAGGTAAACTTGTGTGTATACTTTAGAAGTACGATTTATGTAATCTGTTTAGTTGTCAGGTAGTTTTATGCTTGAGGCCCATATTAAGGATTTCTTTTTTTATTAGGGGCCAGTTTTCCCTTACTACTGAGAGGGTATGGGGAGGGTTGGACAGGAGATACAAAACAGGACTAACTGGTAGACTAGTTGAATAGATTTTTAAATTGTGAGGTTTTTTTTTTCTCAACTGATATAAAACTTGGTATTAATACTTTATAGAGATACTTAATTTTTCGTTTTCATATTAAAATCTCAAGGAAATTGATTGAGAGACCCAGCAATCAGCTTAAGCACAGAAGAAAGTACAGAAAATGTTTCCCATCTTAGCATTTTCTGCTGAACTTGAGGAACAAATACTTTCTTGTGATATGTGGGGTTTTGTGTCTCTGTGAACTGTTTAGGGAAGCTTTTCTGCTGTAATGGCTGAATATAAGTTGCAAAGATTTAAGCCTTTCCTTATATTAATGTTCCACCCCATTAACTTCATTGTTAGGGCTTTTACACTTCAGTGATTTAAATAAAATGATCTAACTGTAGTTCTGTTGTCCTCTTTCCTTTTGTCTCTTTTTTGAGGTCTAGATGATTATGTATTTAGTTTTGTATTTTCATTTAGACTCAGTTGTTAATTTTCTTAAGCCCAAGACGATGATAAAGTGAAACTGTTGTATAACTAAATGTCTTACACTGCTCAAGCCCTGACAGATAAGGGGATGCATTTGTGAAGATGAAGTGGTCACTTCTTCAGCTAGTGTTTTATCATTTGTAGTGGTCCTCAAGTGGTCTTCAGAGATCAGGAACTTCATAACTATAGGACTATTCTATTGTGAAGTTCAGATTGGTGATTATACAGGAGCTTTCACCTATATCCCAGGATATTTATAGCCCTGGAACCCAAATAAGAGTTTTGCTTAAAAAAAACAAGCTGTTTGTGTTTTAAAAATGTTATCTAAGCATTTTCAGAAAAAGTAGGAATTATGCAATGATCTTTCAGGCAAAGTCACCTTTGCAAATATTTGCAACTCCTTGCAAATGGCAGACATATTTAGGCAGTAAGGTTTTTTGTTTTTTTTTTTTTTACATGATTCACTGCCAGATGTGAGCACTCCTTAGCCTGTATACCCCAAGTGCACATTAGATGTCTGTTAAAAAAGGAGAGAAAAAGAAGTTGATTGAACTTGAGTTCGGGGCAATGAAACTATCTTTTTGTCAGACATTTTAAAAAAATAATTACTAATATCTTAATAAATAACTTTATGAAGATTAATCCATGTTTGACCCATTTAAATTGAGAAGGGAATTTCATTTTACATAAGTTTAGGTATTGACATGCGATAGTGGTGTTCATTTCTAACCATTTCTTTTCCAGCTCACCAGCGACTGGAACCAGTGACTCTGTCAGGGATTGTGGCATTTATCCTCAGTCTTTTATGTGGAGCTCTGAATTTAATTCGAGGTTTTCATGCCATAGAAAGTCTTTTGCAGGTACTGTACTATTTTTGCAATTTCAGGTGACTGTGCCTGTTCATTCTACTTGTAACTCAGTTGATTTGAATTGATTTGGGTATAGTACAGTTTGTGGTGCATGTTCAGATTCTGTATTCTTTATGCCTTCCCTAGTCTCCCTTTCCTCTAAGAACAATGATTTCTCGTTGGCTTCTTTGACTCAGCATGTATTTATTTATCTACTCTGCAAGAGGCACAGTTAGGTACTCTGAGGACACCAACGTATGTCTGACATGAGCGCTGCCGTCTCAGAGCCTAGAGTCGAATTGGGAGGGGGCAAAGCAGCATATGAATAATTGCCAAGTATGTGGAGTTTGGAAGAGGAGCAGTCAATATAAGTCAGCGTAGGAGAAAGGTGCTTTGTGGAGAAGGGGTGAGCTGGACCTAAAAGGATCTGAGTGGACAGAGGGGCATGGAAGAAAAAAGGGGGCAGTTATGGGCAGGTTTTTGTCCTACTTCTATATATTTCCTCTTTATCTGTTCTTTTTCCTTTTTGTTGGTGGCTACCTGAAACCACTATTTTTTTCAGATATTAGAACTATTTTGTTCTCCAGTGGAGTTTTTTTCCAGAGACTGTGGCTATCAGAATATACTAAATTTTTCTCTTTTTGTAAACTTTTTGAAACTTCCTTTCTTAAAGTTTAGCACATTTCAGACTGGACAGCTTTCCTTACCTTTGTTTCTACTCACTTCCTCTAAAAAAAAATTTTTTTTTTTTTTTTTTTTGGACACTTCCACATGTAGATTAGTTCTCTGTTTTTGGTCAGCATTAAGCTCAGAATACCATTCTTAAAAACCCACTTAACACACCTTATATTCTTTTTTAAAATTGCTTGTTAGTTTGGGGAACACTCTGAGAGTACCATTCTGAGTACCCTCCGAATGTCCTCAGCTGTATGAAGCCAATAGCAGAGGACATCACAGGTTCCAGGCAGCTGAGCTATCCCTTGAGTGGGTAGGGGTAGGTTTCTCATGACTTTTCAATTCTTTTTTCAAACATCCTGAGCCCTGAGGTAAAAACCCCTCTTCCCTTTCAGGCACAGGACAGCTGGCTACTGTCCCTTGGTGTTCCTGTCTCTGTTCTCTAGCCAAGTCAGCTTTATTCCAGCAAGAGTTCAGTTTTGAGCCAGTTAGACAACCTACCAAAAAAAAAGGCAATTTGGAGAAAGCTGACTGAAAAGTTAATGAAAAGATACCTTCTTCCTTTTTTTAAAAAAGTGGAAAGAACAGTAGTATAGATGGGTGAAGAGTTGGTGTTTGTGGAGGAAAGAGAGAGAGGTTTGGCTCCAGCTCAGCTCCTGATTAGCCCTGTGACCTTAAATAGCTCACTTTACTTTCTGGTCCTCAGTTTCATTACTTATAAAATGAAGGAGAAGGCTGGATTTGATGATTATTTCTCAAAGTATGAGGCACATTTACCACTAGTTGCACAGTAGATGACTTTAGGTGGTAGAGGGATAAACATTTTTAATTTTAGGAGTTATGTTTTTAGTGTATGTTAATGTGTAGCTTCTGTATTTGGTAAGATTAATGATAGAGATACAAAATTTTCCTTTTAAAATTAATTTTAATAACTTTATGGAATTTATTAAGTAAATGGTATAATTTAGAGTTGGCAAAAATTGTGAAGATGGTTTTCTGTGGTTAAAAAAAATTCTCAGGTTGTTTGAAATTATCAAATTGATAACTAAGGCGAGGGAGCAGATCTGGGTAGAAAAATTTTCGTGCTACAGAGCCTTACCATCTCTGACCCAGAAGACAGGGTCTGAGTGTGGAACTGGGGGCTTAGACCCCCATTATTTTTAAGTTAAAAATCTGACAAGGCTGTTTTATCTCACAAAACCTATTAAAGAAAATAGTTTCAGGCACTCAGATATCTTATCCCTCATCTTCCTGGACTGATTCTTTCTTTCTCCCTCCTCTGATTCACAACTTCAAAACTAAGGAAAACAGTATAAAACTACAGCTTTTCATGCTTTTGAGCTGCTACAGCTGGCTGATGCCTGCCTTGATTTCTGAGTGTTTCATGTTTTCCCTCTGCACAGTAATGTCTTTGCCTCATCACAGTTGTTGTTTAGGTTTTAGAAGAACAATAATCTGATTAAACTGATTACCACTTACATGGAACTGACTGATGGCTCCGAGATTTCTCAGCCTGTTGACATATAAAAAAGACATCACAGACCAATGTAACTCATGAACACAGATGGAAAACTCCTCAACAAGATATTAGCAAATTGAATCCAACGATATATAAAAAGGATTATATACCACAGACAAGTGGGATTTATTCCAGGTATGCAAGGCTGGTACAACATTCAACAGTTAATGTAATCCATCACATCAACAGGCTAAAGAAGAAAAATCATATGATCATGTCTGTGGATGCAGAAAAAGCATTTGACAAAATCCAGTACCTGTTGATGAACTCACCACAAACTCGGAATAAAGGGGAGCTTCCTCAGTTTGATAAAGAACATCTGCAGAAACCCTACAGTTAATACCATACTTGATGAGAAACTAGATGCTTCCTCCCTAAGATCAGGAACAAGACAAGGATGTCTCCTCTAACCATTTCTGTTCAACCTTGTACTGGGAAACCTAGTTAATGCAGTAAGACAAGAAAACAGAAGGCGTACAGATTGGGAAAGAAGGAATACAACTGTCTTTTTTCACAGATGTCCTGATTGTCTATCTAGAAAATCCCAAAGAATTGACAAATTCCTGGAACTCATAAATGATTATACCACGGTCACAGGATCCAAAGTTAATATATAGAAGTCAGTTACTTTATATCAGCAAGGAACAATTGAAATTTGAAGTTAAAGCAATATATCATTTATATTGGCATCCCCAAAAATGAGGCACTTAAGAATAAATCTAACAAAACATAAACAATATATGAGAAAAACTGTAAAACTCTGATAAGAGAAAGAAGTTTTAAATAAATGGAAAGACATTCCAAGTTCATGAGTGGGACGACTCAATATTGTTAAGATGTTAGTTCTTCCCAACTTATCTGTAGATTCAACACAACCCCAAACAAAATCCCAGAAAATTATTTTGTAGATATTGACTAAATGATACTATATGGAAAGGCAAAAGACTTAAAACAGCCAACACAATACTGAGGAAAAAGAAATCAAAGCACTGACACTACCCAACTTCAAGACTATTTTTTTTTTTTTTTAAGATTTTATTTATTGACAGAGCATGCATACAAGCAGGGGGAGTGGCAGGCAGAGGGAGAGGGAGAAGCAGACTCCCCGCTGAGCAAGGAGCCTTATGCCAGACTGGGATCATGACCCAAGCAGAAGGCAGGTGTTTAACCGACTGAGACCCCCAGGCACTCCTTCAAGACTTACTATTAAGCTATAACAAGACAGTGTGACATTGGCAAAACAATAGACAGATGGATCAATAGAACAGAATAGAGAGCCCATAAATACACCCATGCAAGTATAGTCAACTGATCTTTGACAAAGGAACAAAAGCAATTCAGTGGAGGAAGAATAATCTTTTCAACAAATGGTGCTGGAATAGCTAGACATCCACATACAAAAAAATAATCCAGACACAGATTTTATACCTTTAATTTAAAAAAGTTAACTCAAAATGGATCACAGACCTAAATGTAAGATATAAAACTTATGAAACAGGAGAAAACCGAGATGACCTTGGGTTTGGTGATGACTTTTTAGATACAAGACGACAAATACGATCCATGAAAGTTTAAAAACTTCTGTGAAGGACATTAAGAGAATGCAAAGATAAGCCACAGACTAGGAGAAAATATTTACAGAACATATCTGACAAAGGGCATGTGTCCGAAACATACAAAGAGCTCTTAAAACTCAAGAAAGTATATAATGCAATTAAAAATTGGGCAAAAGAATGGAATAGACACCCCACCAAAGTAGATACACAGTTGACAAATAAGCACATGAAAAGATGTCCAACATCATATTGTCACTAAGGAATTGCAAATTAAAACAATCAGATACCACTAAACTCCTAGAATGGCAAAATCCAAAACACTGACAAAACCAAATGTTAGGATATGTAACAATACGAACTCTTCATTCAATGCTAGTGGGAGTGCCAAATGGTACAGTCACTTTAGAAGACAGTTTGGCTGTCTCACAAAGCTAAGCATAGCCTTACTATATGATCCAGCAATCATGCTCCGAGGTATATTTACCTAAAATGAATAGAAAACTTATGTCCACGCAAAAACCTGCACGTGAATGTTTATATCTGCTTTGCTTGTGATTTCAAAAAACTAGAACCAACTAAGATGTCCTTCAAAAGGTGAAAGAATAAAGTGTGGCAATCTGTACAATGGAGTGTTATTCAGTAATAAAAAGAAATGAGCTCTCAAGCCACAAAAAGGCATGGCTAAACCTTAAATGCACATTGCTTAATGAAAGAAGTCTGAGAATACCACATACTTACATGATTCCAACTATATGACCTCCTAGGAAAGGCAAAACTATAGAGACAGTAAATAAAAAGATCAGTAGTTGGCAGGGGTTTGGAGGGAGGTAGGAAGGGATAAATAGTTGGGGCATGGGATTTTAGGGCCATGAAACTCTTCAGTATGTTACTGTAATGGTGGTTATGCCATTATACATTTGTCAAAACCCAAAGAACATACAACACAAAGAGTGAACCCTAATGTAAACTATGGACTTTAGTTAATGTGTCACTGTTGGCTCATCAGTTGTAACAGGTGTACCACATTAATGTAAGATGTTAATAATGAGGAAAGTGAGCAGGGAAAGAGCTGGGTATATGGGAACTCTCTGTAGTACACACTCCGCTTAGTTTTCTGTCAACCTGTTCTAAAGATAAAAATCTATTAATTTAAACACACACACGTGCATACCACACACCAACATTAAAACAAAGACCGGGAAGGGAGGAGCAGCCTCTGGGCTTTGATTTTTCATGAGGTGTGACTCCACTTAGCAGTTAAA